CTGAAATTTACTGGATTTGTTGATGAGAAAAGCAATGAGTGTATCAGTGATTTATCTATTTATATAGGGATCTCTCTGTAAATGGAACCAAGCTCCAGGAGGTACTGTGTGTGAGCAGGAAATAGACAAATGAAATTTGCAAAGGACAGAAGAAGAAGTGTAGACGCCAGGATAAGTGCATCTTTGCGTGATGGTTAGGGATGCTGCACAGTCCGTAAAGATTTAGATGAGGGAGAAGATTACAAAGCAGTTTTGCAGGCTGACTTTTTAACTAGAGATATTTGCACTCTAAGAACTGTTAGGTGCTACATTACTCTTACTTTCACCATATCCTTTCAAACTCAGCCTTTAGACCTGAATCTCATTCTCATTTTAATATGGACTTCAAATTTAAGTAAGAGTATGCAAAGGTCCTTAATTAGAAAGCTACACTATGACACCATCAAGTATTTTGACTATTTTAGCAGATGGGACTCAAAAAACATACTAATAGAGATTATATGCTCTGAGAAGAGTTTTGCAGTTGAAAGCATGACAAGAACTGGTATTAGCCAGCAAGCAGTCAGAAAACATGGCAACCCTTAGAGATCATTTACATGCCCTCAGGAAAGGCACAGTTAATATGTCCAGAAATAGTGATGCAAGATATAAGCGTACCCTCATCAGGATAAATGCAGACTGAAGACAAAGTAAGATATGAAACAAGTCATCTCAGGCTTTATCCAGGTAACTGCACCCACATGATACTTACAGCTACAACATGCCGGTCATATTTCATACAAAATAGTTTGTTGACTGTAAATTTATCAGTGAAAGGGAAAGTAAATATGTGAAGAGCAAAATGCAAGATGGAAAAAGTGAGATAAATATTGTTAGATTCAAAGGAAAAATGCTATAAACAGTAAGCAAAGCTCTTTGATTTGCACTGTTTTCCAGCCCATAAAACCCTAATATCTGCCAGCGTTTCATTAAAAGCTTATAAACTACCCAGCATGCCTGCTGCTGCATAAATGTATTGCTAAAAAACATTGTCGATGTTGCAGACCTGGTATTTTGCAATGTTTCAAAGAAACCTTGTGTGTATAAAACGCAGACGCATTACTGAAAGAAGTGTGGATTACGAAAATAGCACCTTAAACTCTAAACCTAATTAATATTAATCATTCAGTAGCAGTAGGTTTCTCTCAGGAGAGATGTTCATAGTAATGCTACTAAAACAGAAAATACCAATGCTTCAGAGAAAATTATACAGTATTTTAAGAAACAAGTGTTGTGGATAAAGGATTCAAGAGAAAACTTCTACCACTTATGAATTCAGTAAAAGGAGTAGAAGGCATGACTTTTCAGAGGATTAAGAGTTCAAGGTGTTTGATGAGGTCACAATAGCACAATGGCAAAATCTGTAAATGTTAATCTGAGTGATACAACAATCTGGCAACACTGACTGACCAGATCAACAACTGCGTTGACTAAACGTGCAATCTATTCTCAGCATTAAAATCTAAGACTTCAGCCCTCTAAGGACAAGTAATGGCAGTATTTTTCCTTTTCCACAAAAAGTCACATTGGATCAATCAGATTTTTATTGTTATTACCAATGGTCCCAAACCAAGTCTGGAGGGATCAGAACATTCATGATTTCCCGTTTTTCGTGAGATCACCGTATTTCAGGGCTCACTCACACCTGAACCCAAACACAGGGCAAAATTAAAATGTTCTGATGGCCAGAACCCATATCCCTGAGGCAAACCCTTTCAGTGCCTGGAGGCTTTCAAATGAATGACCGTGTATGCACTTAGCCCATTCTGCACTGCTATTACTGTAGCTTTTCTCACAGAAGCAACTCCAAATTGTTCTGACAACAGAACATATAGATTCAATTGCCATATCCCTCAAATAACTTCATATTCCTCTGCTATTAAGATCAAACATCAAGCTGATGTTTGATTACAACACTGATGGGGTGAACAGGCAGTAAAACACCTGTTATCCATGCAAATGACTTACCTCTTATCTAGCAGCACACTCCAGCACCATATGGATTGAGAAGGTAAAAATTCAGCACAGCCTCACCTCAGAATACCATTAGAAACAATATTATAGATGTAGGAATCGGGGACTGAGACACAAAAAAAAAGCCGTATCTGAATTATTGCACAAATATGAGATTCCTGAATACGTTAATGAAAACTTTGTTTTACAGGTATGCTTAATACAAAACCCCCCCCAAACAATAAAAGCATTGCATCTCACTAACTTTGCAAACTCAAACACAGCTGGTATGATCAGCTGAAACATTTCAAGCTGTCATGGGCACATCACAGCTCTCACCAAAACCTCACTCGCTCAGGTGCAGACACACAGACACACCCAGAGGACAGTCAGTCCAGGCCTAAAGCAAAGGGCACCTCTTGTGACTCAAGTGTGAGGGTGCAGCAGCGTTGCACTCTGCCTAGACTTGTTGGTAACAAACCAACATATTTGACAGTCTAAATGTTTGACATCTGCTACTCTCACCAATGGTTCTGAGGCAAAACTACCCCTAGTCCTGCATGGCTCTCGTTCGCACTTTACACAAGTCATAAAAGGAAGAAAACAGCAAATACGGAAGCCTTTGACAGCACTTTTTTGTTGTCGTTACAGCCAAGCCATGTGCTAGGCATAGTTCAGCTACGCACAAGGTTTAGGTCAAAAGGATGTCTGCCAGGGTAACAACAGCAGAAGGGTGGCTGTGGTGTCAGTGTTAGTGGTACAGCCAGAGGCCACATCATAAATACAGTTCATATACCCTGTGGACCAGGCTGACAAACCAGGCATCGCAATTTGAAACCAGTAGTAGCCACATGTCCAAAGTAACAACGGACAAACAAGCCCCAGCGGTGACGCTTATCTGCACAGTTTGGTCATATAGTTTAAAATACGGCCCCTACAACAGGATCATTAACGTACAACACGCTGCATAGAATGACAGTCCTCCCTAGTAGTGAGTTAAGGATGTAACATCGGAAAAGGAATTACACTAGGTGCAAATTTCAAATACCTCTGTCTAGAGACTTTTAGAGTCTCGAGTAAAATAAATTGCTATTTAAGGAAAAACTGAAACTTTTTATCTGCTGAATGATTTGGGCTTTCTCTCTCCTGCAGCTTTCGGGATCCCGAGCTTGCTTCCCTTACAGTGACAGTGACCATGCTACGATAAATATTCTCTACCACAGTGCTGACTACCTTTCTTTTTTTTTATGTTTTTTTGGGTATCAGCTTGCTCTAACACTCAAGCCAAAGCCACAGGGTTTTTAAGCTTGTAGCCTTATTGTTCTTGCCTTGAAAAGAAAACAACCACGCTTTTGTCCTTTCTGAACAAATTTAGGATGACAGCAGAAACCGTCAACCGGGTAACTCTGGATGAACAAGCTGCAGGACGGGGTAACGGAGATCAGGAGCGAGCCGCTCTCCGTGCCGCCGCCTCGCTCAGGCCGCGCGGTGACCGAGGCCGCCCGTTCCGCGCTCCATCAGCTCATCACTTTCGCATTTTTCTCTCCTGCCTTTTCTGGCCCTACAGCAGTAAGCCTCGAGGAGGGAGCTGCTCTGTGGTGCTGTGCCCGGTGCTGGGCAGACACGGACCTCACCCGCTGCTGGAGGGCTTTGCTGCTACAGCTCCTTACCTCTGGGTCACTGCTGGACTGTATTAGCGTGGATCAAGTTTAAACCATTTCTTCTTTACAGTTCCATCTAGAAGTCCACTTGAAGCCATCTTCCCCCAGCATTTCCACGTGTGACATCTTTACCCACTGACTTAGAGCGTTGCTCTTGCTTCCGCTCTCCTCTTTACACCAAGAACAGAGTCTGTGCACAGTTGCCTTCTTCCTCCTTTATACTAGGGAAGTCAGATCACTGATTAGAATCAAGTTTAACAGTCGTTTAAGAAAGATCCCTTTATGTCGTTCGTAACAAGAAAATTGTCTAAAATACCTGCATGTTCTCAGTAAGGTTACCTTTGCCTTTACTTCCCTTCCATAGGGAGTGGTGCTTACTCATTGTATATCTGCCTAGTTCCATCATAAGCTCTTAGTGAGATACTGTACTGACTAACCTTTTGATACTTCTGGAAGCTGTCACTACTATTGTATCTTGGTGAGTAAACAGACATTAATATCAGAAATTACCAATTTCATCAAGGAGCAGCAAAAGAAACTATGTTCTCAGCATGCACAATCTATGGCTTAGATTCTCATAAAACATATCACTAAAATGAACATGCCTTTTTAAAATTGGTCTACTCTTACAACAGTATAGATACTTCAGCTGGGGATATGATTTAACAATAGAGGTGGTTTTAAACAGTTTTTACAAACGTTCACTCAGCAAGGGAGGAAGCTTAACTTTTAGTCATCGCTGTGTGCACCTTGAGGAGTCCTATGGGAAAGTTTCATAACTTTCAGCACTTCCTAACCTTGTAATTTCAGATAGTGTACTGGGAAGTAGAGGATTTTCAAAACATTTCAGTTTCTTCATTTTAGTGTGGTTTAATAATCAGATATGCTGGAAAAAAAACAGTTTCGTTATGAGCAACCTCTGCAGTGAGGGTTACAAATAGTGTAACTTCCCAGCAAGTGGCTGGCTTTTAGGAAGAAGACAGATTTAATGAGAAGATATTTTTAAATGCTTTCTGGGAGAAGACAAGAACATATGGTCTGCTGCTCTAACCAAAGTGCATGCTGCTGCATTTGTAAGTTATTTTACCTTGCTTCATAAAGGTGGCAGCACGTTACACATCCCAATGACCAGTGCTGGGATTGGAATCCCAGGGCTAGACAGGAGTAATGCAAAGCTACTCTCACCTTCTTCCAGCAAGCAAAAAGGAACTAGCTAGTATACAGAAAAAGCCCTGCAAACTCAACTACCTGTAGCCTTAGTGGAGGAGCAGCTGCACAGTATGATCATGGCACATACCAGCCCATAATCATATTGTGACCTGGGAGTGCACCCGCCCTTGCAACAGATTCATTGATGGGCATCCCTTCTCCAAGTCCTCCCACACCTGACAAGGGAAGAAATGCACATTGCCCACCCGTGTGCGGTACCACAACTCACCTGGCTTTGGAGAAGCATGACATAATCCTGGTGCAGCACCCCAGGCTGCACTAAGGGACTGGAGATGGGCTAAGGGAGGCAGTGGGGCTGGAGTCCTCTAAACCTTCTCCCTGCCGTTTGTGATGGGCCTGCCATTTTCAGAGAACATAGAAGATGGTTACAGATCCTCACAATCTCGATCATGCAAATTCAGTTATTCATAGCAATATTGAATAGAGGCATAGCCTTTAAAATAATCTGCAAAATACAAGAAAGTCTTAGCCAGTAGGACAGCTTTATAAGTTTTGGACACTCAGTTTTTGTGGAAAATCAGGGCCAGATAAAGATTGCTAAAATTGTACTGACATGCAGTTTGTTTTTCTGTCAACTCTTAAGGATGCTGGTCTCTCTTTACAGGAAGATTGTGGATAGAATAGATGACAACAAAGATGGCTATCTCACAACAGAGGAATTGAAAAACTGGATTAAACGGGTACAGAAACGCTATATCTATGAAAATGTGGCTAAAGTTTGGAAAGACTATGATCTAAACAAGGACAATAAAATTGCCTGGGAGGAATACAAACAAGCCACATATGGTTATTATCTAGGTAAGATAACATTTTCAGATTATATACTCAAAGACTACTGAGACTGTAAGGCATGATTTCATGCCTTACAGTCAACAGGAGTTTGGTGTCACATTTAGGCCTTGAAAATCGCATTAAAATTTATGGCTACTCAGAGGTCAAAAGCACTTCTTAGTTGTTTATTACAGCCATTTCCACATGGGTCACCAGAACACAGAAGGCTTTGTAGAGGGATTTTTAAATGTGCTGACAAAGATGAATTAAAGTCTCCTTCAGTTAGAAATATATATATTTTTTAACATTAAAAATGGTACTTAAAAATAATATATTGTATAATTTACCAGTATTTGTTAATTCAGTCTCTCTAAACTCTTAGTATTCTAGATGCTAAAAATTTAGGCTGGATCTAAAAAGTTATTAAAATAGTTCTTGCAGAATAATAACATGCTCCAGACCGTGACAACTGCAAATGGAAATCCGTAACAAATAATACAAAAGAAACGTGTTAAAAGAAATACTTGAAATTTTTTTTTCCCCCCACATACATTCCCTTTGCTTTTTATAACTTAATGAAGGGAAAGGAGGACAAGAAATAACTTAAGAAAAAAGAGCAGTGCTGACAGAACGACAGATTGGTATTACTTGGCCATTTCTACTGGAAATGAGAAGACTACCTACCGTAGAGGCAGTTTCTGGAGCAAGCTTCCAGTAGCCATAATAATTCCAAAGTCTACCTTAGATTAAAATGGAGCTTAGTACATTTGTAGACGGTACTATTTCCACACAATCCCTGAGAAGGGAGCCCTCCTCAGCCCTTTGTCTTTGCTCTCTAATCCAGGATATTCAGACGACAGCTACTACGTTGTGGTCTTGTGTTAATGCACACTTAAAATTCCCATTCGTGATTCCTGGCCTAGTCTCTCTCAACTGTGTTTGTCTCCCAACATGTGAATTATGAAATTGTCATGAGTATTTTTCATGTTTGAAGTCAGTTTAGTGATCCTATTTTAAAAATTATATCAAATACCATTCATTTTACGCCACTGAACACCCTGAAAAAATGTCATTGTTTTAAACTGAAAATAATTGTTAGGTTCCCTGTAGCAGGGGCGTAGTAGTTAGATAATTTCAGTCAGTCTGCCAGCTTCTGAAACTACTTTGCTTTAGTTTGCTTGCTTTTTGAAACTGAAAAGTTGTGTAGCTCATACTGATTCCTAAGAAGAATAAAACTTCTGTGAATGAGATCTACCCCAAATACTGCCTAAGCAGTGCTTGTAAAAGCATATTAAAAAAAAAAATAAAATCTGTGAAGTATGATGTACAATACTGCAAAATCCATTACCCTAGATTCCAACAGAAGGCTTACTCAGACATTTACTTATACTACTAAGTCACCTTTAAAAATCAAACCAAGTGCTTGACCTCAAAGGAGAGAAGTTCCATTTTAACAGAGCAGCTATTCTGGCAATAAGCCTTTGTATTAATAGTCTCTAACAGCAAATTGCGGTGCGTCTTTGTGGTAATACACCTGAGAAGGAATACGGTTTTGAGATCGTCTTGATTAATTTACAGAAAATCCAGAAGAATTCCAAGATGCAACTGATCAGCACAGTTTTAAAAAAATGCTGCCCAGAGATGAAAGACGATTCAAAACCGCAGATCTGGATGGAGACTTAGCTGCCACTCGTGAAGAATTCACCGCTTTCCTTCACCCAGAAGAGTTTGAGCATATGAAAAACATCGTTGTCTTAGTAAGCAGAGCAAAACCAATTACGTTATTTTTACTTTTATTTTTTGGATGAGCTTTGAAAAGCTTCTCTAACCTTTCCATGTAGGGTTTAGAAAGACACACACACGTAATAGCCAAGTGGGGGAACAGAGAGGGATGCCTTTCCTGAAATTCACCTGATTTAGAGCTCTCAGTATAAAAAAAGACTTATTAAATGCACTTCAACAGCTCCTAGATGGACTCAAGAAACAGTGTTGGGGCACAGGCTTACACCAAAGTAAAAGGAAGGGTATGCTGACATGGAGCAGTTAAGTGTTTGATGCAAGCTTATATCTGCCTCTGGCTTAAACCTTAAGCATGGTGTCCAGTTCATTCATTCAGGGAATTTTTTCCATGTGAAAGGATATTTGTATATTCATTGTGTAAACAACAATCACACTGGATTCAGTGAGAGTACATTTGCCTGTGTACAAGGGCAGGTCAAGGCCTCAAAACCTGAAATGATCAAAAGAGGCAAGCAGCCAGAATTGTCAGTTCTCTCTTGATTACTTTGATGCAAAACTATTTTCCAGGAAACCTTAGAAGACATAGATAAAAATGAGGATGGTTTTGTGGATCAAGATGAGTACATTGGTAAGTGTTGAGATTTATTTCTTGTACAACCTCCAGTCCATTTGTCCATGTTCTCCCAAATTTGCAGCAGTAGTAACAACGCTAAGATGAACGTTTCTGTGTTCCAGTTCAACAATTTTAAATCAACCCACCAACCCAGGAGGTTTAATTTCATTTTAGGCAGATAGCAACATCACTGGCAAAAGGTTCCTCACACTTTACAGCACAAGATTCTCCTCTTATTCTTGTATAATTTGTCTAAGAAGGTCTGGAATATTTTTCATGACAGGAATACTCTATATATTTGACCACATTAACAGCTTTTTGAAGGCATTGTTTAGAAACACAGGAGGATCACAGAGTGAATTAGTCTCTTCCCAAGTTTCAATTGTACTTGACTATGCAAGATATCTGGGAAGCACACACTGCAAAAAAGAAAATTCCCCTTTTTTCCACTAGCTACTTTCTTAATTTAATTAGTAAGTAAAACCCCATACTTCTCTAACGATTTGTATGGTGATGCCATTATGTTTCTTCTAGAAATAGAAATGAACTGTGTAAAAATAGCACTAAGATTTAAGATTCTCAAAGAAGTTGTGATGTGCGTGAAAGTCAGTTGCGCATTGCTTCAACGGCAGTAAGAGAACAAAATCAACAGCAGATCAGTCCCAGTTAATTGCACAAACTTCAGTCACACTAGGCAGTTAACTGCTGTCTTGCACTTACACCTGTGCAGCCAAAACAGAAGCAGGACTGTAGATCAGCAGTACATAATATGTTTTAGCCTTTTGAATCACTATGCTGATGCCAAAAGCTAACTTCTCCCACTGCACTGACTTTGATGTTTCAAATCAAGAAAGTAGCACCAGGAAAGCATTAGTGCAAACTCAGATGAATCTTTCTGTTTCTAGTGGTGCTATAAAGATCACTTCACATATAATCAGGAACAATATACACACGTTAATTAATGGCAGGGGGGTTCTATTCCTTGTAAATTATATTTAGCCTCAGAATGTGAATGCTATTCATTTATGACTGAAATAACAGAGCAGCATAATTTCCACAGTAATTTCAGTTCATTCAGTGACATTACCTACATATAATTATAAGGTAATTGTCAACATTTGTTACCATGTGAATGCTGGTTTTTCTTGTCTTCTATAGATAGGAACATAGAATGTTCTAGTCACGATCACCCCACATTGGCAAGGATGATAAAAATCAAATTGACAGGACATGTCAGTTGCTTCAAATAAACAATATAATTTGCACTTTTAAAAATGAAAAAAAGAAAGTGAATGTGTTGTCTGAAGTTTTCTTCACGAGTTGAGGAAAACTATGCTTAAATATTCCTACTTCCCTTTTTCAGATGTAACATTTTTAAATTTTTGATGAAGCTGGTGTTAAAAAACAAGGAGAAAACTAAATCTCTTCGTAATTATTTTATAAGGAACCACATAAAGAAGTCCAAAAATTTCAGTCTCTAGATCAGATATTTGATAGGGAATTTTTCTGAAAGTTATAGAAAAATTCCTCTCTCCTCCCTCCTATTTTGTCTTTTACAAAATTTGGTTTAGATTTTGCACAAGCAGTGAGCAAAATATCCCTAGTCATGTTAAGCAGAGAAAACTAAATTCTTATTGTGCATGAGCAGGTAACAGTATTTCAGGGACACTGTGCACAGTTCTACCAAAAGAGAACTTCAGCCTAGTGTACACGTTCACACTGCAGGGTCAGGGGAGGTTACTCCTAGATTTGAGACCAGCATTTATACTTCCTTTAGATACCAGCCAGCCTCTGGCCCTGCAACCATCCATGTGGGGTGCACTTTTCCTTAGCACATCCTCGAAAACCAAATAGAAAAGTGGAAGGGGCTTGAGGAATAAGCAGCCCTATTGAGTAGGAAACAATTGGGCACAGTGACCAGAAGAATAAAGTGGACACGCTGCTCATCTTATGGAAGGCACATGCTGTAAAGAACAGTTACACATCACTTGCTCTTAATAATCACTGCTACTCTCCCAACTCATTTTTATACAGATAGCCGCTGCCACGGTGGCATTTTCCTACTGATGCTTCTTAAATATAGCACAGGACTGATGTACAGAGCAGCTCATGTATGTAATCTATGCATCCTGTCACAAATGGTACTCCATCCCATGGTACCAGCCTGTGACAAGTGCACTCACTGCTTGTGGGTTCTCACACAGAATGCACCACTGATTCATGGCTTCTCCAAGTCTTTGTAGAAGAATACCTTCTACTAGAGTGTGCTGCAGCACCGCATGGTTAAAAAAGGACTCATCTGCCAAGGTGAATGTCTCACACAGCCCTCTCTAAAAGCAGGGCAAAAGTATTCAAGTTCCATTTAGCAATTTTTGTTTTCCTTAATGTCCACCTTTTGTTCCTTTAACCACTATCTGCTGGCTGGAGTCTGATCTTACCCACAAAAACATTTGCTGGCAGGGATAAGATAAATGTGCTGAGTTCTTTTTCCCCCCCTGTGACTGAGCCTAGCACTAAAGCTTATAATGGCTGTTCAACTAGAGATTTGTAACAGAATTTTTTTTGTTCTGAAATTCAGTGGATGATGACATTTCAACACATTCACCTCTCACGTTAGCCTCACCACTAGTGCATGGTTACGATACGAGGGTAATGTAAGAATGGACAGAATCACCAACAGTGAAGAAACAGACCTGAGAGAAGATACAAGCAGCTGCTTTATTTACACCGCACATTTCATTTTCTGCACAAAGAAATGCTGTGCAGAGAGTGAAAAGTTTAGTCTTCCTCTGAAGAACACTGTGCAAGCATCTTTAGTTTGTGCATAATTTGCAAATTAAATGCAACTTAAGTGAGACCTTTATTTCCTCTCCAGCTGATATGTTTGCAAACGAAGAGGGTGGACCAGAGCCTGACTGGGTGATTACAGAGCGTGAACAGTTTTCAGATTTTCGTGACCTCAACAAGGATGGAAAGATGGACAAAGAGGAGATTCAGCACTGGATTCTCCCACAAGACTATGATCACGCACTAGCTGAAGCCAGGCACTTAGTCTATGAATCGGATGTAGACAAGGTACTTAGTATTCTATTATACTTTTTAAAGTTATATAAGATGATGTGGGTTTTTTAAACATAGCAGCTTGCAAGAATTTATTCCTAATAATTTTTCTTATTAGTACACTTGAAATGGAGTTTTACAGGCTAGAATTGCTAGTGCATTAATGCCAATTTCAGTTGGTAGGGTTAGAATCACAAAAGTAGTAAAATACAGTTTATCAGCTCTAGAAGTCCCCTTTGCTTTCATTAGGTTAGATAAGAAATTATTACCATCTTGATCCTGGAAGTTTTAACACAGTAGAAATATTTTTTTTCCTTTTAAGAGTGGTCATGGCTTTTGTATATAATTTAGACTGCAAGAGAAAAATAAAAGATACATTACATGGAAGGTAGCATATAACTGTTTAGCAGCAAGTTGATTACAAAGAACTTTCAATTAGCAGTTTGACCCAGCTGAAGCGAGTGGAACTTCTGCCTTACACTGAGTCCAAATTTCACCCACCATGACAACTACAATGATTCCCAAACCTGCAGTCTGCTGCTTTGAAGAACTGTCTGTTTCTCAGGGCTCTTATAAGTCTGTGCTCGTTTTTCTTTTACTTAACTTTGAAAATGTTCTCACAGAGATTTTATTTTCCTCCCACCAGGATCAAAAGCTAACAAAAGAGGAGGTTCTAGACAACTGGAATATGTTCGTTGGAAGTCAAGCTACTAATTATGGGGAGGACCTCACAAGAAACCACGATGAACTATGATACAGTATACCAACCAGCATGCCACACACCTTTTCTCCATTTTACTGAAATCATCATGTCCATCCCCTTTTTTTGGGGAAGATGGGCAAGGGACACACTCACAACTGAATGACTTGCATTAATATATTTTTAACATGCCAGCTTATTACCTCAGAAACTGCATAGAAGTAACTTTTTACTCTTTTCACATGGTTAAATACAATATCTAATTACTACAGTTCTATTATGGAAGAAATAAAAAGTAATTTTTCTTGATAGATTAGAGCCTTACTGGAAAAGGCACTTCTAAAAACATAAGGATTTTTGATAGTGAAATATTTTCTTCAAACACCCACTTTTAATATAGTGAAATTCAGCTAGGATTAGAAGGAAACCTAATGTTTAAACAGACTAAGTTATTTAGTCATCTTTTTTAATAGGATATAACAATTTAGAGTTATACTTTGACCCTCCTATCCAGAGAAAGGTTTGACACAAAATCAACAACCTTTTTTTCCACATACTTTTTCTCTCCCAGTTTGGGCCAGAGGTGCTGCAGAAGGTAGCCAGCAACCCTCTGGTTCATAGCTTTACAAGTGCAGGATGTACCACGGGCCCTTCTCTCTAACCCCCATCACAGTGCAGACACAGCACACGTGGCCCAACACCCTTTGCCGCATTCCTCGGCGAGGGTTGTGGAGTTCTTAGTGACAGCTGCTCCTTCTGACAACAGAATAGTGTAGAATTGTTTGTGGGCTGTTGGTTATGCTGTTTCCTGGGAGGAAATACACCACATGAAGCATAATTTATCTCACGCTTTTCGCACTTTACCCAAGCCACACTCTTGTTCACACAGTGTGAATGGCAGCAGTTCTGTGATGGAGAAAGAATGAGACATATCGCCCCCCTGGGCCTTCTGTCCTACCACGTGAGGACAGATTTATGTGGCTAAAGTTCTTGTTTTGTATGTATATACGTATAAGTACATGTTACTGAAGCAACTCCATGAAGACAGCTTTCCTTCCAAAGAAAGGGGTAAGCTTTCCACACAGGTGCTTTCTTTTATACTGTATAATGTGAGCTGTTACATGTATATTTTTTATATACCCAACTTAGATCTAAGTTTGGTTGTTTTTAAATGTACTGGTTTTAAAATTAAGCACAATAAAACCAATACGTGTTTTTGATACTATGAAGGTGCAATAACACTGATACAGACTAGCATAGAGAGATGATGTGAAAGCATAAACCAAGCCTTTTTAGACCATAGTTCCTAAAGCATGGGGTCAGTGGCAGCTCCTGCGGCACTGGGTGGTCATCTACAAACAGCAGCTGGATTTAAAGCAACAACTGTTTCTTCCACACATGAAAAAAAAATTCTAGAAGAGTCCAATATACATGGTTGCTATCACTAGAATTTGTTCTGAACGCTAATTCTAGAAGATGAGGGCTCCATACCAGGAGTTTCCTTCAAGGTTTAGTGTACAGCTTCACACACTGGTGAGCACACAACCATCCAGAGAGGAGCTCTGAGACTCCCAGGTTGTGATACACTGCAGCAATTCAACAAATCTGTGAAAATCATCATGAGACAATGCAGCACTGTGACCTCCATAAACAGGGTCAGTTTTATAAGGTCTTATAAAAACTGTGGTGAAATATTTTGCATCTTCCAGTTGAAAATAATTAAATCTAGATAACAGAGTCTGTCAGAGATTACATGTTCTTGCTAGCACAGTTATTAAGCTTTTGTTGTGCACTTCTTATGACATTGCCAGCAATGTCTGAAAAGTCCCTACCTCTTCCACTAACATACAGTAGGACAAATGTCATAAGACATAAGTGAACTGTTTTTTTGCTTTTCCAGTACTCTCAAGTTAAATAAATACCTAAATGCAGTATTATCTGAGAAACAATAAAATTGTATCTTGGCACATGCAAAAGATTATCTGTTTTGTTTATGACTTGGATTTGGAAAGGTTTATTGTATTCAGTGATCCTAACAATCTTGAGAACTGGGGGGTTTCTGTAGTAGTCCTTCCATACTAAAATTTATCATTTTTGTATTTTAGTAACAGAATTGCAATACTCTCTGCACTCAGATTATCTTCTGCTGTTTCAGGAAACAATACCTTAAAAGACCTCACAAAAAGGCTTGTTTCCTGCATGTGAAACTGCAGCTCAGATTGGATACTAAGCCAAGGATTTTCAGTGAAGCCCAAGGGAAGGTTGTTTGCTAAATCTTGTTGAAATTCAGTGGGAGTTGGGTGCTGAGACACTAAGCATCATTGCCTTCAGCTAAATATGACACTTCCAAATCCATTGCATACTGTCCCAACAAAAAGCTGCATCTGAGCCTTGACAAGCAGTCACATTTTCTTCCACATTACTCAATGAATTTGGAATAGAATTAGCATCACATGAGAGAGAAATCATGTTCCCGTGTTTGTTCTCGATTCCTATTAATGCTTGGAACACATTGGGCATTTTCCTATTAATCCATACTTACATGAGTAAGAATGCTGAAATCAATGGAGTTATTCATGCAAGCAGGAACTGGAAATTTAGACCAGTAGTATTTTTAAATCTTTTACAAAAAGAATAGTACTCAGGCAGATTATATCCAGCTACGAAAAAGGCAAGCACGCCAATTAGAATGAGGTTAAAATTAACCAAATTATTTATCAATAATGGGTAATCAATAGGCCATATTAAGATTAGAAGCTTTTTTAATAAAGAAGAATATAGAACCATTTTTTTTAGAAAACAGAGTATCACTGATACGATATCTCTCTTAAATGAGCTACCCTCTTTTTTTATGCAGCTCTTTTAGAGTGTTTTGCTTCCCAACATTCAGTTACACACAGCACATTCGTGCACTGAATTTTCCTTTCAAGCTCAATGCACTAAGGAAGAGTAACTCCAAAAGAGACTAGAGCTTCTGGGTTTAAATTTAACACTATTTAAGGGACGCAAACCTTTGCTAGAGGATATAACTGTTAACGTTGTGATTTTTCAAACCTAAGGTTTCTAATGGGGTTTGACTGTTCCAGAGATAACATTTTTTTTCCTAGGTAACATATTTCAAGTCATATTATGAGCAAATGTTACAAAATTTTAGTGTAATGTGAAATACTGTAATGTCAGATAGCATTATTTATCTGCTTAATATGACTAAAACCATTAATTGCTGGGAGCCATACTTCATCCCAGAAACATGAAAATCCATTTTGTGCCTATCTTGTCAGTTATTGCCGATTTTCTTAATGAATTGTGATGTAGTGAAATTCTGTTGGGGAACGTGTTTATATATTTCCAACTGCAGGTTCTGTATGGTAATTCTGATTACATAGATCCTCCATTAACTCAATGTTTTCATTATGCCTATGGCACAACATATCAAAGGTGCATTTTTCTTACTTGGATATCTGGAATAGCCATTATTATTGCACATGCAGTTTTAATTATTAGACTTTATGAAAGGAACTAAGTGGCTAATGTTCATTGTCTTATATTTCCATTTAATGATTCAATCAGGTTAAATCTGTCTCCTATTCCAATCAAGGTACTGTACATAACTCCCTGAGGAAAGGAGAATGCAGCCCATGCTGATCTAATTACAGAAGTATCTTAACAATAGTAGCATAATGCTTTACTATATGCAATGCAGAAGTCCATTGTGATTCCAGTGAAATTAATGGCAGAACTCCTAGAGGGACTAAACCCTTGGCCACCCAAAGGCAAGCACAATATGATGGTGGGACTGGAGGCTAGAAATAACCTTACGACCATCAGATCCTGATCTCCTTACTACTACACACTAACTTTTAGGAATTTAGACTGATTCATACTCACATAGGGTAATTAACGCATCAGTTTAATTCATGAAAGACTGTGTCTAATGTTTTACTGGTCTGTTCAAGCAAACTTAGCCATTTTGTTGAGCAATGGTGGCATCTCTCCTAGACAGTAAGTTACTATTAGCACATGTAACTAGTTTTACAGGGAAACAGAAGGAGCCGTAGAAAACATTTCAAGGCCAAAGATTTTTGCAAAACCTGACCCGGCTTGTAGTCAAACATTTGGAAACATCCACCACTAATAAGCCATGTCCTTCTCTTTTTATCACTGCAATCTAGTGTGTGCTATATTCCATTTAATATGTCCAGCAAGAAGCATAGTAACTATATTCACCAATTACAAAGGAGGAATTTAGGATTATTTTCCACTGAAGATTCAAGGCACCGGTATGACTAATGTCCCTCAAACTCAAGTTCTGTACAGATTACTCCAGACGTGATGAATTTCAAAGCAACGTCAGAAAAAAAAGTTACCAGCTTTCCCATAGCGTGAAGGGACATACGTGCGTATGCGACACAACAGGCAATTTCACACCTGCATTCTGTCTCTCCACAGGATAAGGTAAAATATCTTCAACAGATGGGAGAATCTCTTCACTATGCCAGTGACAAGAATACAATTAGCATGTATACGCATTACTATTCCTATTGATAATTAAGGGATATCCATCTTCAGCACAAGTGTTGGTGCTGGTAAGGGCAGCAGAGTTCTGGAGCTCAGTTTCATATACTGCATCTTTGTCATTTTCCCTGTGGAAGATTTTATTTCGTCATTATAAAGTGTCCACATATGATCTGATTGGCTAACATTTGAAGTTTCAGTATTTGCTTAATGTTTTGTAGTTGCCCTCACGTTTGTGAGGTTGGCCACGTTTGTGGTGTGAACTCACCACATACCTGAAATTCCAGGACAGCTATATAAAAAAAGTCATGGCATGATACTGAATCTGTAATAAAGTGTGACACATACATTAGAAATGACAATGTTTCATCATATCAACAATAATTTAGATACACATCAAGATGCTTTCACAGTTAAGTGGGAAATTTTTTCTTTACACGGGAATAGCCTGACAACCTTTAAAATGAAAGTCCATTGGATCAATGGGTGTTACTTAATGAAAATTTGAAGACATACCTTAAAATCCTCAGTAAGGCTCCTTGGTGCTTTTGTGGCTGGTGTGACAGAAACATGAGTTGATAATCCCATTGCCACATTCTCAAACAGCTCTAGTACAGCACTGCCCAAGAAACAGCCATCACATAAGATGCTGCATTCATAGCCAACAGATTGCTGAGGTTTAGATAAAGTGTAAAAATAAAGCTACCCAACAGGCTGCTCCAGCATGCACTATCTTCTACCCGAGGCTGCTGTTGGGTTCTAAGGAAGTTTGATGGGTGCATGATAATGAACGCTGTGTTGGTCACCATGAATCCCACCACTGTGATTCAAGTTAACAAGTTGGTATCAAGGCCACAGTACCTGCGGGGGGGG